CACGTGGCTGGAGGAGGGGGCGGGGGAGGAGCCACAGCACCCACGGCCACTCACACCTGTCCTTTCGCCCCTAGACTACAACCCAAACGGGACGGACGACGGCCCACCCGCCCGGCGGAACGGCCTCTGTCCACGCGCCATCCCCGCCGAGGTGGTGACCGACGGGAGCAACGGCACCTTCCTGATCCTTCCGGAAGCTTCCCGGGCCGTCCTGGGCAGCCCCCTGACCGTTGTCCTCCTCCCCGCCTTCTACACCCTAATCTTCCTCGTGGGCCTCCCTGCCAACGCCCTGGCTCTGTGGGTGCTGGCCACGCGGGTGGAGAAGCATCCGTCCACGGTGTTCCTGATGAACCTGGCCACGGCCGACCTCCTGCTTGGGCTCCTCCTCCCCCTCAAGATCTCTTACTACTTCTTGGGCAACCACTGGCCCTTCGGGGAGGCCACGTGCCGCTTCGCCACGGCCACCTTCTACGGGAACATGTACTGCTCCATCCTCCTGCTCGCCTGCATTAGTACCGACCGCTACCTGGCTGTGGCCCACCCCTTCTTCGCCCGCTCCTGCCGCAGCCCGGCCGTCGCGGTGGCCACCTGTGCCGTGGTCTGGGGGGTGGCCCTCCTCTTCTCCCTCCCCTTGATGCTCTTCCGGCAGTCCTTTCCCGTCCAGGGCACCCGACAGATGCTGTGCCACGACGCCCTGCCAAGGGACCAGGAGGCCGAGTATTACTACTACTACTTTGTCGCCCTCGTGGCCTGCGGCTTCCTGGCCCCGCTCCTCATCATTGTGCTCAGCGGCGGGGCCACGCTCCGTGTCCTGCTCAGCCACAGTGAAAGGTACGCCAGCGCCGTCAAGCTGACAGCGTTGGTTCTTGTCTCCGTGACCGTCTGCTACACCCCCAGCCATGTCCTCCTCTTGCTCCACTACACTCGCCCTTGCTCCTGGGCCACGGGGACCCTCTACGTGGCCTACATGGCCAGCCTGGCATTGAGCACCTGCAACAGTTGCATTGACCCCTTCATCTACTGCTACGTCTCGGACGAATTCCGGGCCAAAGTGAAGGGGCGGCTCTTTGGGCCACGGAAAAGCTCGGCCATCTCCCTGAAAACCTCCAAGGAGACCTTGCCTTCCAGGAACTGCCTTTCTCCGGTGGCCAGTTCTGCTCATCCAGGGTGAAAATCCTTATTTCTCAATTTTTTCCCCTTTCATTTTTATAGTCTAATGTTCACTATTATCCGCATTTTTCAGCACCCGCGTGGGGCTGGGAACCAATCCCCTGCAGCTATGGGGGCTCTCACTATATAAACTGAATAAAGAAATAAAAATGGATACATCTAACATGGCGTTGGCGCTGGGGTGTGTGTGTCATTTTCACCTCTTCCACCCTGCAGTCCTGCTTGAGACGCGGAGAGACGGGGCTGGACTTGATGCTCTTAACGGGTCCCTTCTCGCTTGGCAAGTCCTACGACCATCCTCATTGCTCAAGTAACGGCACGACGGTCCACCGGCTTCGCTGCATCCCAAACCAAAAAGCCGCATCCGCAAACAGACAAGAGACGGAAAGGAGGTCCAAGTTTAGAAATAGGTTTTTAATAAAATATTTTTATCAGCCTCTCCATCCAGCCTCTCCTGCCCGAGGTTCCCACTCACGAAAGCGCCAGTGCAGAAACCAAACTCAGTCTCGCGACATTCAAACCTGGCGCAGGATCGGGCTACCCCAACGGCGTGGCCGCGAGGGGCCCACAGGCTCCGTGCCGGCGAAGCGTCAATTGCCTGGGTGTGCGAGGGAAGAAAGGGCGCAGAAGCCTCGGGGGGGGGGGAATGGATTGGCCGCTGAGAAAGGAAGGGGTGGAGGGTGTCCAGCGACTGAAGCAGGCCCGTGGACGTCTCTTTTGGGATGCAGAAGAGGTGTTTTGAAATAAATATGAGGAAACCACTGATTCAAAGTACAGTAGGGCCCCCGTACCCACAGGATCAGGATCCATGGTTTCGCTTTGCCTGAAAAATATTAAAATTATTGAGTCCAGAAATAGGTCTTTTTAGCATGCATTACCAGAAGTGGCCACTGGAGGGAAGCAGAGACCCTGCTATGTAATCTTATTGACAAACACATAGCATGGCCTCTGGCTCCCTCTCGTGGCCAATTCTGGTAATACATGCTGAAAAGACATACCGGTATTTCTGGACTCTTCTCATGTTATGTATTATCCATGGTTTCCACCATCTGTGGGTGGCTTGGATCCAGTCTCCTGCAGATATGGGTGTGTGTGTGTCCTACTTTATTCTCAATCAGGGCTGGGATGAAACAGGAAGGGTGTAGCAGTAAGAAATCTTAAAAATATTAGTTGCATTTTCTCTTCTCTATAAATACAGCCCTGGGGCGCCAGCATATATCTTTTTTTTTTTTTTTACAAAAATGTCAAGGCGGAAGGAAGCGTTGCAGTTCCTGTGCTCCACAAGGTGGGCCTTGTACTCGGGCCGGATCTTTCCGTCTGTCCACATGAAGCCCAACCGGGGTCGAAAAGCAGGAAAACAGCCCAGATGGGGCTCGGTGGACGCTGGGGAGAGGCTCCGAGTCCTTGCTCTGCCCCGGAGCGTCTGGCGGCACACAGTGGGGTTAACGGGTGCGGCGGGCAAGAGGGTCGAGAGCAGGAAGGGGAGCCGTCTTCGGTTGAGTTCAGTTCAGCTGCAAGACGCACCCGAGGAAACTAGGCATGGACTCCGAGCAGGGCTGCCTCTACTTCCGAGCAGCAGAAGGGTGAACTCCTATGGGGTGGGGGAAACAGCAGAGCAGGAGGCTGGAGGCGAGAAGCCAGAAGGTTGAAGTTGTGTGTGTGTGTGACTCAGTACTTTCAGAAGTTACCCTTCCGAGTAGAGTAGGACCCCTTGTTTCCACAGGGATGGGTTCCAACCCCTCCTGTGGATACTGGAAAGCGTGGATAATAACACTATTTTAAAAGCAAACACATTCCATAGCATGGTCCCTGGCACTCTCTGGCGACCAGTTTCTGGTAATGACTTTGTGGCAATACATTTTCTCTAGGATTTTCCTGATTTTTAATGATTTCAGACCGTGGTTGAGTCAGTGGATATTGATCCTGCGGATACGAGGGTCCGACTGGGTCATTTTAAGGCTTTCCCAGCCAGCACACCTCCTGGAGTCCATGCCGGTGGGGAGAATGGGTTTTGTCACTTCCCCAGTGCTGGGGTGGGTGTTGCCGACCCACGGGGACCACCCCCACCCCGTCTCTTACCGTTCATGCCCCTGTGGTCAAAGTGAGGGCCTGTGGCCTGTGGCCCTCGTGCACCGCTGTGACCTCAAAGGCGTCTCCCTCGGAGGCATACGGGTCCACATCGTACTCGTACGAGTAGTAGAAATCCAGCTGCTGGGTGGGCCCTTCCTCTGTGTGGCACATGAAAATGGGGTGGAAGGAGTTATGCCAATTGAGACACAAGTGCGAAACCCGGGCACCCTTCCGGAACCCAGCTCTTTCTTGGGATTCCACATCCCCCGACTCCACTGCGTTCACTTAGGACGCCGGTGTACGCGTCGTCCGGATGGGCTGCTGCGATGCTCCCTCCGCATTGGGGCTTCCCTTGGAGACAATGGTGGGTCCAGACAGGTCTCGTCTCCCGTGGTCGCCCATCACATCCCAGAACCCGGATCGAGGGTTTGAGGCTCCCGGGCAAAACCCCACCCCCACAGTTTGGGGCCCTGCCCTGATAGGCAAAAATCATCCCCGGGGCCGTTTCGGGTTTTATGCTCTCCGTGGTTTGAATCTGTTCCTGTCTGGCGTGTGATTTTTTCCCCCCTTCTAGATCCATTCATTCTTTTTGCAAACTGCCCGGAAGAACGCATTGCACTAAGGCAGCAAGATAGAAATCGAAGAAAGAGAGAGAGAAGCCTGCCAGAGCTGAACCCCCTCACCTGTGGGTCCCGGCTGTTCTCCATGAAGTAGATCGAGGCTGTGGTAGGGAGTCTCTCTGCCTCCTGGTGTGTTTTTGGCTGTGAGGAAGAGGACACAAAAAAGTGTAGGGCCCCCGACACCAGCAGTTTGCCTTATCAACGGCGCATAGCCTGCCCCGCCACAGCAGCCACAGCAGCCGGGGACACGAGACAGGGCCTCCTCGGTGGTGACTCCCAGGTTGTGAGATGCTCTCCTTCATGGGTGCGGGATGGAGGTCAGGCTGGCCTCCTCCCTTCCCTCCGATCTAGGCTTTGAATCATCACCAAGGGAGTCCCCGAAGGCCCCTTTTAAATTAAGATATTTTTGCCGTTTACCTGCTTCTAATTTGACAATGGCACGGTCATTATTTTAGCATCCAAGCCCCCCATATATACTGAAATACTGTACATGAATTAGAGCAAACAAGTTTAGAACAGCAAATGCATAGTGTCTGGTTCCCTCTTGTGGCTAGTTCTGGTAACTTCATCGTTTTTTTATATATACAGTGGTGCCTCGCTAGACAGTTTTTTAGCTAGACACTGATTTTTTGCAGTCACTCTAGCGATTCGCAAAACAGTGATTCCTATGGGGGAATTTCGCTGGATAATGGTTGGTCCCTGCTTCGCAAACCAATTTTCGCTAGACAATGATTTTGACAGCTCCCTCTGCGCTCGCAAAATGGGTGTTTTCGGGACCCAAGCTTCGCAAGACAGCTATTTAAACAGCTGATCGGCGGTTCGCAAAGTGGCTTTCCTATGGCCGATCTTCACTAGACAACGACGATTCTTCCCCATTGGAACACATTAAACAGGTTTCAATGCATTTCAATGGGGAAATGCTTTTCGCTAGACAATGATTTCGCTAAACAGCGATTTCAGTGGAACGGATTATCATCGTCTAGCGAGGCACCACTGTATGGGAAATTTTTTTTTTAATAGTTTTAATAATAGTTTCAGATAAGCGAATCAGCGGATACGGGGTCCAGTCGTTTTATGAATTTTTTGAATGTTGAACATCTTATCTTTTTAATTCTTTTTTTTTAAAAAAATGTTGCGAGCTGCCTCGTATCTTTTTAATTCTTTTTTTTAAAAAAATGTTGCGAGCTGCCTCAGGTTCCCCTTCTTGGGCAAAAGGCAGCCTATCAATAAAACAAATAAAGGAAAAAAATTGCTGTTGTTGAAGCGCGGGGCCTGCGTTAGGAGGAAGAGAATCGGATCAGGGACCCCGGAGAGCTCTCTGAGTGTTGGGCCCATTCCCCTGCCCTCCCCCTCCAGATGCCATGTGTGTGTGTTCTTTTTCCTCCTGGGGGGCCTACCCGCCTCGCACTGTGCCATCGGGACCTGCTCGATCTGGGTGCTGTTCCGGCAGGCGGCCACCTCCATCTGGCAGAGGTTCGGGTACAGCTGCCCATCCGAGCCGCACACGGGCTCCCCATCGTAGCCGCAATCCCGTGAGCACCTGCACGGCTCGAAGTAGGTCTCCTCCAGACAACCCAGGACGCTGTTACAGGGCCCCGTCTGCACAAAACCTGTAGGGGAAAAAAGGGGGGGACACCCATGCGAATCTCCACCATGTTCCAGCTCCCGATTTCTGCTCCCCCCCCCCGGCGGCTCGTGCTCCTTTCAGGGTGGGCGCCAGAGAACCCACAAGAAGGGGCCGCAGGATCAGTGGCGGGGCCTCCCGAGAAAGCATTGGCTGGGGTTTTTGCAACCTCGTAGGCGGCCTTTGGTGGGGCAGGACCTTTCTGGGGCACCCCGGCCTGTCCGTCTAAGCCAGCGCTAACCCATCGTTCCTTCCTTGGCCTCTTGTTCTAAAGAGAGACCCGCCTTTCCGCTCTGTGTCTTTTTCCCTCTCCAGAATCTGTCGGAAGCCTGTGGCTGAAAAGCAGTCACATCAGTTAGTTTGCTGTCCGATCTGATCGCAATGGCAAAGTAAAGAAAATGGTGTTTTGTTTCATTTTCTCCCTGCTAAAGTCTTGGCGTGAGTTAATGAGGCTGTCAAGTCAAAGAGAAAAGCGGAATTGAACGACCGATTCAAAACGCTACAATGCAATTTGGAGAGTGTGACGGCTTTTATCTCCTGTCCATTTTTTTTTGGTTCGGCGACTCACCGACCCAGTGGCTGGCCACGCTCTCCACCTCGTTGCACATGGGGCCGTCACAAAGCTCCCGGGCCAAGGGGCTGGTCTCGCTCACGTTGTAGAAGCGGGTGGCTTCAAAAGCTGGAGCAAGAAAAAGGAGAAAAACAGGCGGTGAGGGACAGAGGCTTCCGGTCTTCGGGTCCGACTCATGAGTGCGAGACATTTTTTTAAAAAAAACTTGAGCCAAGTTGCGGGTGCGAAATAAGTAAGATTCCTCTGCCCGTTGCGCGCATGGGCCAAGGCAAGGGCCCCAGAGAGGGTTCAAGAGGGAGCCGGATCTGCTCACCCGGCTCGTAGTAGTCGTAGACGCGGACGGGCAAAGGGGCCGTCTTCCCCATGATGTATTCCCGGAAGGCCACGAATTTGACGCAGGTCACACACTGGCTGGGGATCTGCAGACACAACGCACTTGGTGAGGCCTTGGGTGGTGAGGGATTGGGGGCGAGCGGCCCCTCCAAGGGAAGACGTGGCTCCCCAGAGGCAGGCGGAGACCTCGGGAGGCGAGGACGGGTCCCTCCGGGTCGCTCTGGCTCACCTCATCAAAATAGAAGAGGACTTTGCGCCCGGAGACCTCGTATCTCTTCAGGCCCGTCTGCTTGTTCACGAGGAGCTGGCGGGGAGGGGAAAAAAATATAAGAGCTTGGCTCAGCCTCTTCTCCTAACACGCCGTGCTCTGGCGCCTTTCCTTCCTTTCCAGAGTGAAGGTTTTTATTTCCCGAAACTGGAGGAAGCAGATTTGAACTGCAAACTGATTTTGTTTTGTTTGTTTAAATAGTCATGATCTGAGAATGGCAGAGCTGGAAGGGGACCCTCGAGATCATCCAGTCCAGCCCCTGAGGAGGATTAGAACTCCCAAACTTGGACTCAGCAGCCAGAGACTCTCCATCCCGGAAACGCTCTAGCCGGTCTTACTTAGGGCTTTTATTCCATATCTCGCGTTGGCTGTGCTCCCATCGCCCAATCATGCACGGCTTTTGCTCACGGGGGTGGGGGGGATGGGGGGCTGCACAAGCTGCTCTGAGTGCGAACGCTGCGTCCTGGGGTGTCGGGAGAGGTCTTACCTGCTCCAGGCTTTCCAGATCTGCTTGGAAACCGGAGAACAGAGGGACCTCCAAGACGGCCATGTTGGACGAGCCAGAATGAAGCCACCTTTCCCGGGACAGATAGGAGAGAGAGAGAGAAAGAGTGGGGGGGGGGGAAGAGACTGAGGACAACTGGACAGGATTTGTATCCACAGTTTCACTTATCCACGGACTGAAAATGAGAAAATGTCTAGAAATATATCCAGCAGGACCCCTGTTATCTCCGGGGGATCGGTGGCAACCCAGCCACCACAGATGCAGAAAAAATGCAAATTTGTTGCAAATGGTATTTTAATAGGGAACACCCGACAGGGGGTGGTCTCCTGCACCCTCTCCTGGCCCGTCCTCGTAATGACATTGTGGAAATATATTTCTGTAGAGAACACGGTGGTTTCTGGCTCCCTCAAAGGGCCGGTTCTGGTCACTTCCTCTTTAGGAACATATATTTTGGGGATTTTTCTTCTAATGTTGTGAACGTTTTCAGACTGTGGATACGGGAATCAGTGGATATCAACTCTGCAGATCGAGGTGTGTGTGTCCTACTGTATTTTAAAAGAGGAAGTTACCAGAAATGGCCTATAGAGATAGGGGAGATGTGCGGTAGCTTCCTCCTTCTCGTTCTCCTCGTCTTGCTCAGGTTGCAGCACCCATCATCCCTGTCTCTCCCTCCCTCCTGGAAGACAGCCCGTGGGGTGGGAAGGGGAGCAGAGCCCGGCTACTTAAGGGGATCTCTCACCTCGTACACGTCTCTATAACCACTTTGTATTCTTGGTGGTCCTGGTCAGCCGCCGGGTCATCGTCATCCCCCATCATCTGCCCCCGGTGAGAGGTTTCTGAGCGGTTTTCATCTGGGAAGGCGGGTTTAGGGGGCCGCGGGGGGGCTCGCCGGTGCCTCTTCAGTTTGGGTTCATGGAGGTTCACCAGCAGCTGGAAAGCCGGCTTGGCCACCGGATCGGGAACGTTGTACGTGACGTCGATCTGCCCCAAAAGCAGGATGGAAGAGTGGTGAGCCACGGCTCGGCCCTCCTCCGGCTGGCCTGGAGGGGAACCGCCAAGTTTGCAGCGTTCGGAGAAAGGGGGGGGTTGTGGCCACCCGTGGCCAAGCATCCCCCGGAGAAACCTAGGGAGGACCCCGTGGGCCAGGCAGGAGGCAAAGCAGAGCGGAGAGAGCGAGAGCGAGCCAATATTTTTAATCATTGCAGACCGTGGATAAATGAATCTGCGGATACCGATCCCACGGATAAGGGGGTCCTCGCGGATACCGAACCCACAGATAAGGGGGTCCTCCTGTGAATCAATAGGGGCTGAAGTGTTAAAAAGAGAAGCGACACACACAGTGCTTTTTTTTCTAAAGAAGAAGAGAGGACAGGGCAAGAAGGGAGAGGAAAGCATAAAACGTGGCCACACAATGCCGAGGGGAAAGCCACGGGTTTGGCGAGATTCGGAGACCAGGCAGCTTGGCTCACCTGCAAGAGGCAGCATCCTTCCCCTCTGGCGCTCACAAACAGCCCGGTCGGGATGGAGGGAATCTGCAGGGGAAGAGATAACAGAAAGGGGGGGGTGTCTCGATGGGCCAACGTCCCCCTCCAAGGGCCAGCCAAGCCTCCCCGGGGGAAGCCCCCCACTCCCTCCCTCTCTCTCACCACTGCCGTCTGCAAGAGCTTCTTGTTGGCACGGTTGAGCTCAAAGATCTCTTGGAAATCCAGGTTGGTGGAGGCCAGAGAAATCGTCAAGTTGACGCCACCAACGAAGGAGAGGATGGCATACTCCGCCAGGGCCTGGAGGGCCACGCAGGTGTCCTAAGGGGTCGAGGAAGGGGAGAGGGGAAAAGGCCATCGGGGGGTGCATATATGTCCCTCATCCCAACCCCACCGTGGAGCTGGTGGGGCTGAGCCGGGGCCCCTCCACTCTGTCCCCCCCACCCAAGGGAGTCCCAGGATGACGACAGGACCCATGACACCCTTCCCTCGGCAGGGTCTGCTTGGGTGCCTGCCTTGAGCAGGGTGTTGGTGGGACTAGATGGCCTCAGAGGGCCCCCTCCCCCTCCCCACGCTATTTTACGACCCCGGTGCAAGCCCCTCACCTGCGTGGAGGAGAAGCCCCCCAGGGCGTTCCTCCGCTGGGAGAGCCACTTGACCACGGGCAAGGCAGAAGCCACGTCCTCCAACACAGTGTAGGTCAGAAGGCCGTAGGCGGTCATCTCTACCTCCGCGGAGACCACTGCAAGAGGGGGGAAGGACAGGAGCTGAGGGAGGGAGAGGCAGCGCTGGTGTCTTTCCAAACCTCCTTGGGGCAGATGCCGTCGGCCCCAATGATGGGGTCTGATCCAGGAAGCCCCCCCTCAAGCTCCTGGTGTTGGGTTCTAACCCCGCAGCAAAGAGAGGGGTTTCCAGTCTACTCCCACCTCTTCTAGCAGGGGTGGGGAGAGAAGCCCAGAAAGGCAGCCTTCAGGAGAACAGGGTCCGTCTTCCCCACAACCACACAGAGCTACCTGACTGGGAGTGGCCGTCACTAAATCCCATAAAGGCGTCTTCGTCAGGAGCCTGGGTCCCCGCTAAGCTCCAGTGCGTGAAGCCGTCTGTGAAACCAAGAAATCATAGATGGGGGAAGAGAAGCTGAAACGGAGAGAGCCGCTTGGCTACCCCAGTCTGCACCCCCACTTCTGAAGCCTTTAACCCAAAAGGTGTAGGTTGGAGGGTGCAGGAGGCCGAATGTCGGCCACCAGGGTGGGAAGAGGCCAAATATGGCCACGTTTCCAAACAAAACCCAACCACCGGGAGAAAAAAGGGAAATATAGTGGTGTGTCTGTTCTTTGTGTGCCTGGACAGGGGGTGGCGGCCGGCAGGACCAACCCGCCCCATGTGCGCGCACGCACACGCACACACACGATTCATGGCCTTGGCTATCTCCGTGGGGCCCCTGTGGCCGAGATGGGCAGCCACGCGGTGTGGGTGGGGGCTCACCTTGAGTGATGGCCAAGCTGTTCATCTTCCGCAGGGCCACCCCGGCCGAGGGGCTGCGCAGGAGGGTCAGGGCGTAAGTGGTCAGGACGGTCGTGTACGGGTCCTCGGCCAAGTAGACGTGGGACTCGAGGAAGTGCTTTGCTTTGGCCACGGAGACCTTTTCCTCCTGAGGAGGAAGGCCAGCAGCCCGTCAGCATCGTGGCCCTAACCGTGGTCCTCCTCTCCTTGTGAGGCAGCTGAACACTTAGTCAATGTTGGGCAAGCATCTTGGCCCAGGGCGATGGCCACCGGCCCGAGGGAGGCCCTCCTGTGGGATCGGGGCCATTCCCAACCCTCTGGGTGGGCTCCGATGGCTGCCCTAATATTTGATTAGTCTTTTTCCCTCCTTGACATGGCTTTGATCAACCCCACTGCGCCCTGGGGGGCTTCCTTTTCTGCTTCCCACGACCGACCGCTCACGCGGCCTCCAAACCTGCATTTCCCTTTTACCTCAGAGGCCACCCCGGTCTCCAGGAGAGCGGCCACCACATACGCGGTCAGCGAAGTCTTCCCGTGGATGCCTCCCTGTAGCCCAAAACACAAACAAAGTTGGGATGCCCAAGCGGCGCTCGGAAGGGGAAGCGTGAATAACGAGACTCATGCGCCACCAAGTCAGTTCTGACTTACGGCAACACTTTCTGGAGGGGGGAGGTTTCTAGGTAGAGAACACTAAGGGGCCCTCGTATCTGCAGGATCCGTATCCGCTGACTTGTTTATCCACAGTCTGGTAACATTAAAAGAAGAATCTCCAAAATATATGTCTCTAGTGATGAAGTTACCAAAAGTTGCCACTATTAAAAGAGCATTTTTGCTATCATTTGTCCCTCTTGCGGCAAGTTCTGGTAACTTCATTCTTAGAAATATATATTCACGGGACCTTTCATATTTTTAGATTGTGGATCAGAGAATCAGCGTATACAGATCCCGCAGATACAGGGTTCGTACTGGACTCAACTTTTCGCGTGTGTATTCAAGTGTTTTTTTAAACCTGGAATGTTTTTCTCTTGTGCTACTTTTTAAACGCCTCCTACCCTTTCGTACCTGGATGTCCTTATTTAAAATCCTGCCCACGGCTGGGAACGAGCCATCCTCCTTCTGATGCCGGATGATCCAGTCCTTGGCCGCCGACAGCTCTTTTGGGTCGATGAAGACGAAGCTCCGAGACTGGGCGAAAGACTTCAGGACGAAGGCCGTGAGCCTGGGAACACAACGGAGGTTGGCTCGCCCACCCCGCCCTGCTCGTTCGCCCCCCGGCGATCCAAGGAATAAGCCAAAAAAGGGTTTGTGTGCCCTTCTGCCCAAAAGTTCACAGACTTACAACATACCACATGCTCCCCGAGGAATCGCGCTCCCCAAAAGCACTATACGAACCGTCTTGCCTCTTGTAGGTCAGCTGGCGTTGGTAACCTAGGACGAACGGGCGACAAACATCCCATAATACCCAGACCGCGGCGGACCGCGTTGTGTCCTCACCAAGCTCTGCTGTCTGTTGTTTCCGCTTTATCTCCCCTGCTTCATTTGTTTATTTAAGGTCCTTCGGTCCCCTTCCCTCCCAAGGATCGCCCCCCCCGGTGGTGACTGATGGGAGCATTTCCGAAGGGCGGCACACAGAGGGGGGCGCGAACCAAGCGACAAACCGGCGAATTGGGGCTGGTTCGCGGTTCGGTCCATGATCCCATTCGGGGGGGAGGGGAACCCAAAACGATGCCCCAATCTTTTTTTCCCCCTAACGGCGAACTGTCCCGAACCACTGTTTTCCAGATTCGTCCCCATGTCTAGCAGCGTAAGAAAATGTAGCCCATTGATTGATTGATTGACTGACTTACTTATTTCATATACAGTAAATAGTTTTATCCAGCCTTTCTTCCACCCCAGCTGCTTGCATGATTCAAAGGCAATATTTAAAGCTGAATGCAACAAGTTAATAAATGTTAAAAGAGGATCGATGCCAAGATGCTTTCGAAGCATCAAGATACAACCGTCCGGTTTGAACGCACCCCCCTCGGGCCGCCAGTCGCTGATGCGGGATGTGGGGCAAGCCACCCTCCGCCCTCCCCTTTGACCCCCGCCTCACCCAGGGCAGGTACCTTGCACCAGATAATCCGTGGCCTCGCTCTCCACCTCTGGGCTGAGCTGCCGAGTCTTCTGGAGGTACTTGAGGACAAAGACGTTTGGAGCAAAGTGGATCATATTCTGCTCCCCGCAGCCGAAAGGCAGCTGGAGGAGGTTGTCCAGGTGGTTCAGTGTCGGCCCCATCACGTCCCCTGCCGGCAAGAGAGAAGGACGATATCAGCCAGAGAGTAAGATTCTAGCCCATCGTGCTTTCATTTCAATGATAACCAATCCATAGGAGAGTAGTACCCTGTATCTGCAGCTTCACTTATCCACGGCCTGAAAATATTAAAAGAAAAAACTAGAAATACTGTATGTAATTCCACAATGGATTTACCAGAACTGGCCACTAGAGGGAACCAGAGACCACGCTATCTGCTCTTGTTGTTGTGTTGGTCTCTGGTTCCTTCTAGTGGCCAGCTCTGGTAAATACATCACAGAAATATGTATTTCTGGATTTTTTTTCTTTTACCATGTATAGTGTTCACCATTATCCACAATTTTCAGCATCCGCAGGGGGACTTTGAACCAATCCGACACGGATACGGGGGCCCTACTGTAGTTTACGAATTTAATGCTAACGTGGCTGTTAGGAAGCCCTAACACTTCTCACTGGATCTCTCTCCCACCCTCCCTCTCTTCCACCCCAGGTAGCAGTACCAATGATGGAGGCGGTGGCTCTCTCCGACCCCGGGATCACATTGTGGGGGACCCCCAAAGTAAACGCCTCGTTGTGGTTCTCGTCCGTTTCCTCTTTCCTCCAGATTTTAAACTCGCCGGCAGAACCCCAGCCAGTGGAGAAACCGACGTACTTCACCTCCCGTGGCTTGGGAGGGGCCCAGGCCACAATGATGGACTCGTTCAGAACGGCATGGCCATGGCCCACCTGCGGAGAGAAGTACAGCCCCCCACCACGGGGATATAGGCGTTAATGGGGGTCCTGGGGAGGGCAAGAGTTCAGGACTGACCCCCCCACAGCCAGTGACACCCTCCCAGGGAAGCTCAAGCGGCTGCAGGAGTCTGTTCTGTTGGTTGCAACCAACCTAACACACTGCGGTCCTCTGGCTGTCTATTTGGCATCGTGAAGTGGCTTAAGAAGCCGTCCACTTCAGGACATCAGCAAATTCAACACCTCCCCTGCTCCTCTCTGAGTGAATTTTTTTTTGCGTGTCTGCTAGACCAACCCTGTTGTGCCAAATTGCTTAGATTAAATGTGTAAAAATGGATTTCTTTGCCTGTAGGTGAAGGGCAGAGGGCAGTTTCTCCACTGGCACTCCCTACAAGGCAGAGAAAAAGAAGGGTTTTTTTAAAAAATTGATCTAAGTGATTCAGGGCAGCAGTGATGGTCCAGCACAGGCAAAAATAATAATTCCACTGCCCCTTATTCTCTTCAAAGGAGCAGGGGAAGTGTTCAAGGGAGAGCGGAAGGAGCCAGAGGATCGCTTGAAACTGATATGCACTTGGATGTGAAGATAATAAAGTAGGGCCCCCATATCCACAGGATTGGTTTGAATAAAAATATTAAAAGAAAACAACTAGAAATATGTATTTCTAAGGGGTATTTACTAGAACTGGTCACTAGAGGGAGGGGAACCAGAGAACATGTTATGTATTGTTGTCGAAGAAAACCTAGAATGGTCTCTGGCTCCTTCTAGTGGACGGTTCTGGTAATACATGATGAATATATATATTTCTGGATTGTTTCTCTTCCCATGCTACGTACAGCGTTTGCTATTATCCACTGTTTTCAGCATCCACTGGGAGGGCTTGGAACCCATTCCCGGCGGATACAGGAGCCCCCCCCCGGCAGTTTTCCTGTCTTGCATCCTGCAGGAGAAGGTCTCCCGTCTCCCACCTGGATGATGCCATGGTCCCAGCTGATCCAGAAGGTCCGGAATTCGTCCCAGGAGAGAATGCCGGCCGTCTCGGCGCTGGCGACGGGCTCGCCCATTTTGCTGGTGGAGATCCAGCTCCTGGCGTTCTGGTGGCCCCCGAGGACGACCTCGGTCATCTCTGCCATATCGTGGGCCGCCGCGGACAAGGCGATGTGGGCGTTGTTGTGAGCCTTGATGGCCACCTCAAAGCGGGTCAGGCGAGCCGGCTTCTGCACGTACTGGTACTCGTATTTATTAGGCGTGGAGATGTGGATTTTCTCTACCCAAAAAAAGGAAACCCAAAGTTCTGTCAGCATTCAGCTTTGCCCCTCGGGGAGGAAAAAAGAACGTGGCATAAGGCCTTGTCCGACTCTGTTTGTGCCCCAGATCAGAGGCTGGGAAAGGGACTCCTTGGGAAAACCACTCCCAGAATCCCCAAAGGAATGAATTAAATGAATCACGGTACAGTAGGACCCCCCCCTGTATCCATGAGGGATGGGTTCTAAGCCCAGCCGTGGAGGCTGAAAAATGAGGATAATAGCAAGCAATATTTTAAGAGTGAATGCAAGACAAAGAAACGTTCCCAGGCTCCCTCTTGTGGCCCGTTCTGGTAACGACATCATTGGAAATCTATATTTCTAGGATTTTTCATGTAGCCGTTTTAGTATTTTCCGATAAGGGAATCCATGGATACTGATCCCGCGAATACAGGAGTCCTACTGTATTTTTTTTCTGGATCTCATAGCCAAGCCGGAAGTGGTCCCCGTGTGACTACCGGCTCGAGAGAAGATACTCCCTCCAGGTGGCGAAGGAAAGCATTAAAAGGCAGGATCTACCCCCCTGGTGGACTCTTACCATTTGGGCAGAAGAAAACACTGTAGGTATATTCTCGGGTCAGACCTTCTGGCTGCGGAAAAGCAGAAAATTCATGACAAAACACAAGTTGGAACCAACAACCACAGCAGAGAGAAACACCCCCTGTTACATACAGCACTGATGTTACCTGTCTGTCATGGGTTTGGAGGGAAAGTTCCATCCTATGGGGAGTGGAAGGCGGGACATCAGGAGGAGGGGCTGTACTGTATATATATGTGGAGCGTGTGAGGAGAGCTGGGGGAAGCATTATTCTTGGGAGCCGTCGTCCTTTTATTACCGCGACGGTTTCTGCTCTTGCTGTCTCTGTGCTTTACCTCAACAAGGATGCTCCTCCAGACATAGTCCACTGCGAGGGGAGCCCGTTTCTCTGTGGGGCTGTCATCGGTGTGCCTGCCGTTCTTCGAGGACTGGGCACCCTCCAGACAGCAGCTGCCTCCCCCGTAAGCAAAAGCTTTTGCTGAAGGAGAGGAAAGATAAGCGGTGGCCATGGAAAAGTTTAACCATTCTCGCTCCCTCACCCTACTACCCAATGGGGGATATACCGGGCTCTGTAATATTAAAAGTGAGAAATTATCTTAGAAGGGTCACAGATCCCAAGCAGGATGGGAGCCAACAGGGTGATGTGGCTGCAAAAATGACCAAGGCGATCGGACCTGAGTCCCCCGCGGATGCTGAAAAATGTGGATGATAGCAAACGCTACCTAGAGCATGGTTGCTGGCTCCCCCCAGTGGCCAGCTCTGGTAGTGAAACATCACAAAATTATAGACGCCTAAGTTTTTTTTTCCTTTAATATTTTCAGATCTGTGGATCAGAGAACTGGCGGATCTGTGAAGCCCCCCCCCCCCTTGTGTTTGGAGACAAGTGATCTGGATGCATTCCTTTAAGTCCGCCAAACGTGAAGGAGGAGCAGAGACTGGGAGGGGGGGACAAAGGGGGGGAACAAAGGGGGAGCATTCCTTTGGGAGACCCAAAAGGGCTACCTGTGATGTTGTTCTGGCCCAGCTCCGTGAAGGAGAGGACAATGGATGTCGGCTTGGCCTCGCCGGGGGCCACGCACTTCTTCCGGGTTAGGTGGCGTTTTCCGGGGTGCCCCACGAACGTGATGCCTTGGGGGGCAGAAACCTTCACATGAACCTGTGGTGTGGGGGGGAAGAGCAGCAGGAACGAGGACGTCAGCTCCGCCACCGGACTGCCGGCCCCAGTCTGGACCAGTGGCCCCTCTGAAGCAGGCCCTGCTTCTGCCAATAAAAAAGCCCGCCGTGGGGCAGAGGATGTCTGATCGGCTGCCCTCCCCCCCCCGGACCTCAGCTCCCCGCTCTCCACCTCCTGGGCAAGGGGCCAGACTACATTTCCTGGATGGGAACCAGAGCAGGGACAGGGCTGAGGAGAAAGCTACCCCTCCGCGAATCCTAACCCCCCGTGGATCATGGGAGCTGTCGTTTCAGAGGGGAAGGCGACGCCTCACCTCCAGGCACACCGGCAGGTAATTGTGGACCACCAGGGCGATCTTGGTCTGCTCGCTGCGGACCACGCGGTACGGTAGGGTGAACGCGACGAAGAACGGCTTGAAGGTCCTCAGGGCCGCCGGCCGGGACAAGCCCAGGCCCTCCTCCTCCGACAGGCCGACGGCCTCGGTCAGCCACGTGGTGATGGAGTCGGGAACGTCCACCCGCAGCTGGGCTTCTCCGGAGACGTCACTGGGAAGGGCGGAGGGAGGGGGGGAGGGAGAAAAGCGGAGCGGTTTGGGTGCCTCTCCGGCTGCGGAGCAGAAGGTTGGGGGTTCGAATCCTCCCACCACCACCCCCGGGGCCTCCTGGACAGAGGCTGGACCGGATGGTCTCAAGGAGAGGCAAAGGCGTTCACCTGACGTTCAAGCAACTCCAGAACCAGGTCTCCGGGAAATACGTCCTCTTCTTCTTGTCGGCCCTGGGGAAAGCCGAGAAACGCGGTGCACGGGTCAGGTGGGCCGCCGGGAGCGCGGAGGGACATCCCCACGATGGATGGGGACCCGCCTGAGTCAGCCCTGGAGGAGACCCATGAGGGGGCCAGGAACGGCGGCCCTCAAGGCCAAAGGCTGCCAGGGGAGCTGGTGGAAGGGGGTCCCCGTTTCCTGGACTTTGGCCCAAAAGGCGGCACGTGGCTGTCGGTTTGTTTTTTTAAAGAAAAGAAAAATAAAAGGATCTTTGCCAGGGGGGGAAGGGTCCTACCTCGGGACGGCCTTGGTGTGCACAGAGGCCACCAGCGTCCCCGTGTGCGGCTGGAAGGCGGGGACGGCTTCATCAGTGTACCAGCCTCCGTGCTGCCGGTGGTTCAAGCTGACGAGGTCGGTCATAACAACTAAGCCGCTCTCCTGGGTCAATGAGGAAAGAAGAAGATGGGTTTCTCACACACACACACACACAAACAAAAGGAGCAGAAGCCCGTCACTGAAACCCCCGCACAGCTCTTAGGGCAATTAAGAAAAGCGTCCAGAGGGCTGGCCCCACAGGACGCCAGTCATGAGCCTCACAGCCGGCCAATACTCCAGGCCGCTGCAAAATTGGCCCGGCTGAAGGATTGGAAACGTTTAATTAAGGGGCATTAAAACAGGGCTTGGCCGGCGGGAGACGCTGGCACCGGAACGACATTTTTGGCTCAAGCCTTCGAGGCCTGACGAGAGGCAGAACGGACAGAGGCGAGGGGAAAACCCTGAGGCCACCCGCGTCGTTTGGATTCCTGGGGGAGATCTTAAGCAAGAGGAGAAACCCGGGTTCCTGGGAAGAAATCAGAACCCTCTTCCTTCCTTTCAGACCAGGAAGCTCGGCCTCAGAGTCTTCCAGGCGAGCCTCACTGAGGTGCCTGTCAAGTGTCCGTCCGTCTGTCTGTCAGGCACAACTCTCAGAAAGGAGAACTATGGGATTCATAGTCCGAAAACAAGGGCGAAATCTGATCTTTCACCCGCCGCATGTCTCGGTTTCACGTTTGCTGGACCTGCGGTCGATTTTTGCCAGGAGCAAGGGGGTCAAGTAGACATCAGCCCTCACCGTGAAGGCAAAGCGGGCATCCTTGGTGACGTCCCAGTGCCAAGGGAAGAGGGATGAGCGCCGCCGCCGTTGGTGCAGAGACAGTCCTGGCCACCAAAAGTGGCTGTCTTCCTTTGTGGTGCCAAACGTGTCTGACACGTCGTAATCCGACAGCTCCTGGAAGACCTGCACGAATGGACAAAGGGCATCGGGTGCAAGGAAAATAAGAGCATAGGGGGTGAGGAAAAAAAGGATAATCTATAATTGCTAGGGATGGGATTTAAGGATTTCGTGGACGCTGTCATTCCCCAGACTTGAGAGACTGACAAATTGGGCTCACCTGGGAGAAAGGCCTCAACCAGAAGGCTTTGAGGATGCGCTAGGCCTAGTTTCACGAATGCTTCCTTTCTGGCCAGGAAGCTCAGCCTAGCTCAGTCTCAAAGCCTTTCTCCTAGGCTTTGAAACTGAGTCATTTCAGTGTCTGTAGGGTAAGGAGAAGGGCCTCCACTGGAAGGCTTTGAGAGTGAGTTAGGCTGAGCTCTGCCCAAGTTTCCTTTTAATGCCTTAACCCTAAATGAGGTGCTTCCTTTCTGGCCAGAAAGCTCGGCCTAGCTCGGCCTCAAAATCTTCCAGGCGAGCCATAGTTCGTGGTCTCTAGTCTGCCTGTCAGGCACAACTCCCAGAATGGGGGATTATGGAGTTTGTAGTCCAAGAAATCTGCCGGGTGGAACAGGCAGAAAAAGTTCAGAAAAATTAAAAGCAGTAGAAGAAACGCATCACAAGATGATGGATTGGCCCAGGAGTTTGCAAGACCTAAGGACATTCAGGACAGGACAGTGGGGAATGGCATGATGAGAACAGACTAACACCCAACGTCCCCCACACACACACATTTTGAGACACAGTCCTCAGCCCCATGGGGTATCCCTCACCTTGGCAGAGGTCAGCTGGAAGCCAGGTTTGAGGAGGTAAACGCTCTTATCCACTGCAGCCAAGCAGACACAGCTGCCCTTGGCCGCTCGAACCTTAACAGCCACCGAGTCGCCGGGCCGGCTCTCGTTGGCCAGAAAGGCCACCGACACCTGGAAGAGAGGAAAAGAGAGAGGAAGCTGCGACAGAAGGGCCGTGGCCTCCCATGCTTCTCCTGGTGCAACCGCGTGGCCCTGGTGGCGGGGACAGCCAGCCTGAGTCGGATACCTGGTTCTCAAAGAAAGCCTCCACAGCAAACTGCAGGCTATCTGCAATGCCTTCTCCATTCTCCCGGACGTAATAGACAAGGAGGCGGCCCAGCGGAGCCATGCCGGCCGTCACCGTGAAGCGCACAGAGGTCACACAGGTCTCCGGGGCTGGAGGACTTGTGGGGACTGAACAGGAGGAAAGCAAAGACGAGACACAGTCAAGACCTGGAACGGGAGGCTGGAAAAACAGCCACTTGCATGGGGTGAACAGAACATCGAAAAGCCAGCCATGGCCAACCTTGGGCCCGAGGCGCAGCTCTGGAGAACCTGGAAGTCAGCCTGTTTCATGCACATAAGTACAGTAAGACCTCTGTAGCCACGGGTGTGTGTGTGTGTCAGTTCCAAGCCCCTCCGTGGATGTTGAAACACGTGGATAATAGCAAAGATTAGACACAGCACAGTCTCTGCTTCCCTCTAGTGGCCAATTGTGGAAATATATTTCTCTAGCAAATGCTATACAATCATATAGTCTCTAGCTCCCTCTAATGGCCAGTTCTGGTAACTTCACCTTTAGAAATACAGTACATTTCTAGGATTTTTCTTTTACTATTCTGAATATCTTTCAAGACTGCGGATATTGATCTCGCAGATAAGGGGGTCCTACTGTACTCCTAAGAAACAACGTTGTCCCATCGCCCTCTTACAGGAGGAGCGTTATCTGTGTTGCCCTCAAAGGAGCCTGGGTGGCCCCCCACCTGGACTACCCCAAACCTGATAAAGGTCCCTCTGCAGGCCTTCTGCCCCAGACCTGAAGCAGTGCTGCGGACATGCGTGAGGCGGACATTCCTGCCAAAGGCCGGCCGAAGGGTGTCCCTCCGGCTTCTCTCCTGGGTCACGTTTCCTGGCTGCAGGCCGGAGAGGACGATGTTCCCCCGAGACACCACCTCGTAATGGAGGGTGAAGTTGCATGCGCAGGTGGACTTCACAGTAAAGCGAGCCTGCTCCCCGACCTAGAAAGAGAGAGGGTGCCCATCACAGTGTATCGGTCCCCTCCCCAAGACACAAAGATGCTTTCGAAACAGACAATGAGGTCCCGGGAGGAAACAGCCCAGCAGGAAAGGGTACGGGGGGGCAACCCCACTGGCCCTTTTCCTCCTCTCAGAGAGTTGGAAAACCACCAGCAATAAGGAAGGATGTGAAATTCTGCAGCACCAAAAGATCTGCCTCTGAAATCTAGAGAGGAAAACCAAGCCCTCGGAGGAAAGAACTGGAAAGAACCAGGCAGGTTTAGACTCGAAGAAAAAGAGGATTGAAGGGAGGCAGGACAGCAGTTTTCAAAATCTTGAAAGGTGGTCCTGTAGAGGAGGGGCAGGATCTGCCCTCCATTGTCCAAGAGTGCAGAGCACCTCAATGGCCCGATTTTGATTGACTACCGGGAAAAACTTTCTAACTGTTCGAGCAGTACGACACTGCAGAGCACCTCAATGGCCCGGGGGGCGGGGTGTAAGCAGACCGAAAGGCAGAACAATAAATAGAAAGACAGGCAAGAGACCAGCACTGATCAGGAGAAGGGGTTTGGGCACGGCACAGTCTTAGTGCCGGAATATGATCCGAAGGTGTTTTGGGGCCAACATAAAAGCAAAGGGGGATCATCCCGAAAGCCAGCTCCAAGGAACACAAAGCGAAGGGGTCCCCTCGGAGAGCCTGCGTGTTTCCCCCTGCCGGGCTCTTGGTGCTCGCCCGAATCCCCACACCCACGCACCCCGGAGAGCGGACAGAAGGTCACCACGTTGGAAGCACTCTTACGTGGAAGGGCTTGTCCACCATCTGAAGCTGAAGGTGGCACTTGCTTGGGGAATACCAGCTGCTGATGGGGAGATAGCTGGGGAGATACTGGTCTCCAGCTGGCTTCCCTCCCACGGCGGTGACTTTGGCCTTGAGAAAGGGAGAAAAAGGGGAGCGTCATTCCGAGCGCCGATCCGCAGCGCCTGGCACCACCTCTGTCATCACCACCGTCTACCCAGTTGTGGCGTTGCGTTGGTACGAAGAACATCACAGCCCACGCCAGAGGATTCTCCCCCCTTGCCCGAGACAGCCCTGCATGAATGGAACTTAGAAAACCTACGTTTATTTTTTCCATAGGACCTGCATCTCAAAGATGCTTTCTCTGCAATGCTAAGCACCCACCGGCTCTGTATTTTGAAATCTGTTATGTTGATGCCACGTAGAAATATTATCCAGGTTCAACCTCTTATGTCTGAGGGAGTGGACTTGTCCACAAAACCTCATATTTAAATAATATAAAAGTGAGTCTTTAATGAGCTGCCACGTTTTTGCCTTTAAAAAAAAAAAGTTTTATCTCTCTTTTAATTTGGCCTATATCCCACAGAACCTCATATTTAAATAAAATAAAAGTGAGTCTTTAAGGAGCCGCCACGTTTTTGCCTTTTTAAAAAAATGTTTTATCTCTCTTTTAATTTGGCCTATATTATTTTATCCCCAAGTCCGCGGTGGGACTTGGTTTTGGGGTCTGCTGCCACGGAAAGAGATTCCATGCGGCTGCGTCTCTGAAAAATCGTCCCCCCCCCCCCCCGTTCAGCGTCCGCTGGGAATGGAGGCAGACCGGCGATCCTCCGGAAGGACTTTCACCCACCTCCAGCCAAACATACTGAGCCACGGGAGGAATTGAGGGGATCTCAAACACGACCCGGCCGCCCCGGGAGACCAGCTCGCTCGTGTAAAGGTTTTCCTTTGGCGTGAGCTCCGCCTTGATCCGGATGGTCACTCTGTCAGCCGGGCTGCCGTCGGGGTAAGTGACTTCTACCTGGAGAGGGCAGAGGCAGAAGGACCAGCTCCCTCAGAGAAAGGGGAGCTGGCAAGATGACCCACACTGGGTCCTGAGTTCTGGGAGATTATCCTGGGAGGGAGAGCAGAAATAGTGGCACTCAAGACAAAGTGGACGAGGAAAAGCCACCACCACCCCCTCACCTTTCCCTTGTAGGGCAGGCCGGACTTGAACTGCTTCCGGGTGTCCCTGGAGTACTTGATGTCAATGAGCTGTTTCTGGACAGGGGTGGAGTCGTCAAAGGTGACTTGTCTGCTCCCGTCGGCGCTGGTCACGGTGGCCCAAATGTTGACCGTGCCTCGGAAATGCTCGGGGACGTCAGCCGGCATCATGTCCCGGGCACACACCTCAAAATCCGCAGAACCGTCGATCTGCCAACGCAGAAAAGAGGATTAAAGAAGGCATCCAGAAATAGGCATTTTCACTATGCATTACCAGAATCGGTCACTTGAGGGAGCCAGAGACCATGCTATGTATTGGTCAACAACAAGAAAACATAGCATGGTCTCTGGCTCCGTCATGTGGCCAGTTCTGGTAAATACACATTGAAAGTCAACAAGACTACACAGCATGGTCTCTGGCTCCCTCGTGTGGCCAGTTCTGGTAAATACACATTGAAAATACATATTTCTTGTATTTTTCTTTTAATATTTTAATATTTTCAGACTCCAGATGAGTAAAACCACAGGCAATGATCTCAAGGATACAGGGGTCCTGCTGTACTTTGCAACTGTTCAAACCTGGGCTCTGGTAAAAGATGCAGTGGGCCTCACAAGTTTTGATCCCCCGCCCTCTCGCTTTTGACGGGGAACAACCGGGTTCTGTAAAGGATGTCTTTGCTTTCCTCCTTCACTCACTTCCATTGTTTTGAGGATGGGGTGCCCTGCTTCATGGCGGTAGTACCCCACGCCATTGACTGTCATGTTGACGGTCAGCCGGCCAGTCACCGGCTTCCCAAACGTGTACCTGAAACAAAAAAGTACCACCATTAAAAGCCTCCTCTACTTCCAAGGCCAGGTTGCCTGTTATGCATGTGTGAATGTGTGGAGCTGACTCCTCCCAGCCAGACAACTCGTCCCATTATGCAAGTGCAGACCTTTCCAGTTTTCTGCATTCTGTGTGTCTATCAGTTTCCCGGCCTTCACCCGTCACCCTTTGGACCTCATGAAGGCTTAACGTCTGTGCTAACTCTGTAATTCAAACCCTTCTATCTTCTTTACGACTGCTTGTAATTACCCACGATCCCTCCTAACTTCCCTTTCCCTTGCAAAGACAGCCATGCTGGGATGAGTGGAGGAGCGAAGCCAGGCAGGTGGCACTCCAGCTGTGCCCCAGGAGCATCATCCTTACCTAGCATGAACGATACCCATGATCCCTCCTAACTTCCCTTTCCCTTGTAAAGACAGCCATGCTGGGATGAGTGGAGGAGCGAAGCCAGGCAGGTGGCACTCCAGCTGTGCCCCAGGAGCATCATCCTTACCTAGCATGAACGATGCCCTTTTCACACACGTCAAGGTCCCGGATGTAGGGAGGCAGGTCAATCTGCACTTCAAACTTGGGCAGAACTAGTGAGGGGAGAAAAGAAGAGGGGGAACGGTTTTGTACTGTGGACCACAGGAGTGGCAGAAACCCAGAACCCCCCTTCTCAGTGACATCCAGGCACGGGTCAGGGCAGAAGCAGCATGAGAGGTACAGGAACTGTCCTCCATTCATCCCCCATTGGGATAATTCAGGTCATCTGCCTCATATTGCCACCTGCTTTGATGTGGGTTCCTGTACCAAGCATGGGGTCGGACCAGATGGCCTTCGAGGCCCCTGTCCAACTCAACTATTCTAAGATCCAAGAGCCTGCCTTTGTACCAGCTTGAAAAGGAACTCTGGTGGCTCCTAAGAAGGTAAAGGTAAAGGTTCCCCTTGACAATTTTGTCCAGTCGTGTCCGACTCTAGGGGGCGGTGCTCATCCCCGTTTCCAAGCCATAGAGCCAGCGTTTGTCCAAAGACAATCTTCCGTGGTCACATGGCCAGTGCGACTTAAGACACGGAACGCTGTTACCTTCCCACCGAGGTGGTCCCTATTGATCTACTCGCATTTGCATGCTTTCGAACCGCTAGGCTGGTGGGAGCTGGGACAAGCGATGGGTGCTCACTCCATCGCATGGATTCGATCTTACGACTGCTTGGTCTTCTGACCCTGCAGCACAGGCTTCTGCGGTTTAACCCACAGTGCCACCACGTCCCTAAGAAGGTGGTACTGGATAAAACAGCATCTTCCCCCTTTGGAAGGAGAGCTTCAATCCCCCTATTCCAGTTTTCAAAAATGCCCATGGCTCTGACCTCTTAGGCATCTGGAAGTAGGAGGCTGGGGGTGGAAGGGGCAGAATTTAGGAGATTTTGCAGCCCACTCTCCCTCCCCCCGGTTGCTTGCAATGGGAGTGAAACGCTTACTTAAGAAACCGAGGGGAGGATAACACTGTCGTCGTCCCCTGAAAAATAGCTTCTACCCTGCCAGCCAGTCTATGGTTCAAGCTACCGTCTCGGAAGTCCTCTTTGAATGGTGTGGGTTCGAAACCAACGCTTGGAACTTATTGGGAGCTGTCTCTTTTTTTGTGTGTGGGGTGGGTGGGTGTATGGGGAGAACTCCTTATTTCACCTCCAGGGTGTCCCAGCGCATGCGTTGGAAATAAGTCCCAAGGAACAGCTTGCTCACCATATTTCTGAACTTCAAAGGACTTGTTGTACGTGTATCCTTGCATTTCGGCAAATATGAGCCACTCCCCGAAGACCGGCTGGTCGGACAGAGGGAAACTCATGTTCAGGACACCTGATGGAGAGATACGAGGAAAAGCCGTCAGCCATGATCCTTCAAAAGCGAGCCAGGAAAAAAAAACGAAGAACGAAGGCTGCCCTCTCTCTGATTAATCTAACGATCTTGCCCATAGCTGAGGCCCAACGGCGTTACTGGGAAACTCACCACAACAAACCGGCATTAGGTTCTTCCACTCGATCATCCGAGCCCCCCGAGGATCCTGGAAAGAGACCCAGAGATTCTTCTAAGGGCCAAGACTGCAAACATCCCAATCTTGAGATGTGTGTGCCAGTCTTTCCCCCCAAAATTTCCAAATCCAGCAAACCCCCTGTACCAGTTCCCAAGTCCCCCACCTGCGGATGCTGAAAAATGCGGATAATAGCTACCACTTTTAATCATAAATGCTATACACAGCATAGTCTCTGGCTTTCTCTAGTGGCCAGTTCTGGTAATTTCATGGAAATATATTTCTCTAGCAAACACTATACATTGCATAGTCTCTGGCTCCTTCTAGTGGCCCATTTTGGAAACTTCCTGTTTAGAAATATATACGTATTTCTAGGATTTTTCTCTTAATACTTTTAATATTTTCAGGCTACGAATGAGTGAATTGGTGGATACTAATCCTGCAACTAAGTACAGTACCGATATATCCAAGAAAAAGCTCAGAGTCAGCTGGGACCTGGGAGGTACTCACCACCACGTAGGCTTTGACCTGGAAGGAAGAAAGAAAGGGAACAGAATGAGTCATTTTCCTGGGGGAACATTTCTGCCTAGCTTGAGATCTCCGGCTGCAGAACCTGAAGTTGGGAGTTCAAATCCTGCATGATGTGTCCTTAACAGGGGCTGGACTGCATGATCTTGAGGGCCCCTTCTGGTTTTGCTACTGAAGTTGGGAGTTCAAATCCCGCATGATGCGTCCTTAACAGGGGCTGGACTGGATGATCTTGAGGGCCCCTTCTGGTTTTGCTGTTTTAAGATGCTGATGGTACATCTTCTGCTGCCTGATAGTATGCCCTAGCTCTCTCGCCCCTCATCCCCCCCCCAAGTCTGCAAGCCATCCTGGGAAACTTTGTTAGGAGATGCAAAAGTATTTTGGAGATAAACTAGGAAAGAAGGAAGGAAACAGCCTTTCCTCCTCCGTACTCTGACTGGCAGGGGTGACTCAAAAGAAGCAGGGAGAGGTGATGGCCGGGGGCTCTCCATCCGGTGCCGCCTGGCCCCTGGGAGTCCCTGACCTGAAACCCTTACCTTCTCGTTGATTGGCCGCAGGTCCGGGCTGACCATAAACAAGTTGATCAGCACTGGGGGGAAAAAACAGGAGAGAAGAATTCGAGGAAAAACACACGGGGGAGTTTTTACAACCTCCCTGTGGTCTGAGTGACGTCTTGGCACGAACCCATCATTCCCTCTGATCCCAAGAGAGCCCCGCCTTTCTGTGGAGGTCTGAGTGACTGGGAGGGACGTCTCGGCACGAACCCATCGTTCCCTCCGATCCCAAGAGAGCCCCGCCTTTCTGTGGAGTGCTTTCCCCTGCCCCCAACTCTCCGTTGGTGTTCTGCATGGGTACTCTGCTGTTGATCTGTTCGTAAGGGTAAGTAACAAAAGGTTTGTATTCTTCCTCCCACAAGAAGCATCTCAGGTGGAGTTACGGAGACCCGGAGGTGCTAGTTAATGAGAAAGGAGGGTGGGCTCCCTGGGCTATTCTCCCCTGTGAATCTCTGCCCTTCTACGATGCAGCGAAAGGAATTTTAACAGAAATCTGACACTCTGACACACATGCTGCTTCCTCCTGACCTTTCTGAGTCGGCCGGTACACCGGCTTGTCAGTCTGGATGAAGACGGAAGCGCCTTTGCTGTCGATGGTGACCGTGGTTCGGTTATAGAAGATATAGCCCTCCTCGTTCAAGTGCCGGTTGCCCCACACTTTCAGGTGGCCTTGGCCCCGGAGGCCGGGGGGCACCTAGGAGACAAGCCACGGGTAGGGGGTGCGGGAGAGGTAAGGGGATGCTCAAGCTTTCTTAGCAGCTCCTAGATCAAACAGGCCCAGGGAAGGGAAGGCAGAACCATTCTTGACACTACTTTACATTATCCAGTAGGACCCCTGTATCTGTGGGGGGATTGGCTCCAAGCCTCCCGTGGATGCTGAAAAACGTGGATAATAGTGAACGTGACACAGGGCACAGTCTCTGTCTCCCTCAAGTGGCCAGTTCTGGTCAAGTCATCTTTAGAATTATATCATTCTAGGATTTTCCTTTTCATAGGTAGTTTCAGGCCAGGGGTCAGTGGATCCTGATCCCGCCGATAAGGGGATCCTAAGGTACAAGACTATTCCAAACAGGTGGGCCTTTCCTGATTGTGTTTTGAGGCCGATACATTAACTCTGCCTTACCGCCGGGTAAATATTGCGCTTTTGTAAACCTTTGGGGGTATGTTAACAGGCGACAGGATTTAAGGGAATGGAGCAAAATGAAAGAGATGAACAGGGGAAGCTGAAATCTCCCGTAAGGTGTTTTCTTTTTCCCCAAAAATGCGCAGTGGCTTTTTCGCTCGATTTTTGTCCCCCTCCCCCCCACCGCTCGCCTTCTTATGCACCAGAGCATCACACTCACCTTAAGCTTGATGCTTCCTTTACCTACAAGAAAAAAAGACAAACTTCAAAACCCTATATTTTTTTTCTTCCCCCATTAAAGCCAAAACAAAGTTAACTTCTCCACTCTTGCCGAGGCACGGTATGTTTATCCTGGCCGTGAGTCCACGATTCCAACCCAAAGAACGGCAAAAGGTTTTGCTGCTGTGGTTATAAAGTGGGGCAAAAACTCGGAAGAGCCGGGTTCAAGTCCTCCTCCGGCTATGGCAGTAACGGGGTGGCCTTGGGACAATCGCTCTCGCTCACCGGGAGCCTCCCTCGCAGGACGGTTTGCCCCCTTCACGTGTACGTTAAAGGAACCTTACCCAGGACCGTCCCATGAGATCGCGCCACCGTCTCCCCTTTGACCACCAGGTGGATCTGGACTGTCGTCTCTTTGACGGGATGGAAGAGGGTCACGCTGATGGATTCCTCCACGCCCGGCCGGAAGACAGACGGCACTGCCACCAAATAGCCTCTGGAGGTGGGTGGGAGGAAAGAGCAGAAACCGGCCATCAGGAGGGGGGGGAAAGAAGAAAAGAAGCATGCCAAAGAGCACCTGTTTCCGATACCAAATTCTACCCGGATGGGATCTCCCGCAAAGGAGGATCCGTTGGCGCTTCTGGAAACTGTTCCACAGAGAAGCACAGCATCACAGCAAAGGGAGAGGGCCTACTCGGTGGCTGCTCTTTCAGACTCTGGAACTCCTTGCCACTGGAGGCCAGGCTGGCCCCATCTTGACTCTCCTTCTGCAAGCAGATAAAAGACCTCCCTCTCCAGGCAAGCTTTCCCTGTGTCACTGGCGGCCCCAAGTAAGTTTTTAAAAAAATTATTATTAATGGATGCTTGCGCCTTCCTGCTTTGACTGGTGTTTTCAGCATTGTCTGTGTTGATCGTGTCTCATTTGATCCTTCTTCGTATCTGTATACTTATTCTTTTAAAGCTTTAAATATTGTCTTTTAAGGATGCAGGTCGTACAAATGTTCTTGGCTTTAAAGAGTGTCTTTCAATGATACCAGCTGCCTGAGGCCCTTTTTTAAAGGAGAAAGATCGGGTAAAATAAATATTTCAAATCACTAAATAACTATAAAGAAATAACTACTGTTGACGCCAGGCATCTCAAAACGGGCAACAAAGGATCACCAGACGTCCGTCGGCGTAGGATCGAGCGGAAGAGCCCCACAATCTAAGCTGAGCTCTCCAGAACACCTGGAGAGTTCAGTGGTTTGGGTATTGGGCTGCAGGACTGGAGGTTGGAAGTTCAAATCCCCCACGGGGCCTCTTTGGCAGGGGCTGGACTGGATGATCTCGAGGGTCCCTTGCAGCTCTGCCATTCTAAGAGGATGAGGACGATGGGTTAAAAAGTCTCCCCACCACTATGGGGGAAATGGCACAACTGCTACGGAGATTTCAAACAGAGTCCCGTTCTGCCCAACGGGGGGGGGGGTGGCTCCGCTTTTTCTGCCCAGGGCTGTCCCTTTTGGGGTTCAAGAGGAAAGCCAAACTCTGTGCAACTCCAGAAGTGGCAAAACTCTTTTCCATGTTGACCCCAGGTGGGGTCTTCCGCTCACCGGCGCTGGACCCCTGATCCTGTGCACCCTCCCCATTTTTCTGCCCGAAGGAGATCCCCTTTGCAAACCGCTTTGAACCCTTGGAAGCGCAGAGGCTGAACACCAGATGGGTCTTCTGGAATAATTTATGTTCCTCCACCCAACTTCATGGGGTCTGTCGGTTGCCCTCTCCCCCAAAATGACCCCACCCGGGCTCCCCCCCCCAGGACAACTCTTTCCGTCCCATACTTTTAAGACCTCCTTCATCCAGCTGTGGGGCTCCTCTGGAGCCGGAGATTAATGGCCAACCTGGGGAGGGGGGCCGAGAAGGGGTGATGGTCACGCCGCCGGTTTATGGCTCCCCACACGGACTTTTCTGGCCAATTCCGAACTCTGTGTTGCTTCCTCCGTGTAACCCATTGCCATGGAGACAACATCACAACTTTACAGAAATTCTACACACACACACCCCTGGCGTGCGTCATGCAGGTTGCAAGGGGCACGCCACAGACCCGGGGAGGGCTAGGCACACCTCCCCGACCACGGCTCCCCATGGAATACATCTGAATCACCTTTCAGCCCATTCTAGGCTCTCTTTTCCCTATAGAGCTATGGGGTGGAGCGATACAGCGAGAAACACCATGCCAGGGTGTCGAAAAACATCTGTGCGCTGCCCCACAGCCTATAGGATGATGCCTCGTCTGTAGAACACATGTGCAGACCCCATTTCAAGCTGTTTCCCCCAGCCCTCAAAGTTGCTAGCTTTCTGCTACCCGATGCATATCTTATTTCTAATAATCTTAGAACAGCAGCGCTGGAAGGGATCCCTAAAGATAATCCAGTCCAGCCCCCATCAAGGAAGCCTGGTGGGGGATTCGAACTCCCCACCTTGACCGAAACCCTTGAGCTTAAAATATTTTTACCTTTTAAGTGCCTTTTGCCTTAAAGAGGACCGAGGCGGCTGACCAAAATTTAAAAGGACAACATTTAAAAGTCAAGATATGCACCGTTAAGTCTGCAAATAGGAACCAAGTGTTGTATTAAAAACAGTCAGTCAAATCAATGCTAAAAAGACATCTGAAAAGAACAGAGCACCACCCCTTCTCCCGGCTTGGTTAAAGGATCATCCTTCCAGCCTGGGAAATCATCCTACTTAGGATTTTAAGCTTTTTTTATCTGCCTCCTTCTAATATCCAGGTTGAAGCAGGAGGGTCTGAGTTGGTGGCAGGTTTTCCAAAATCCGCCGGGTGATGCACAGATGTACCAGCGGTGCTTTTGGGGAAAAGTGGCTGTCTCCCAAAACTTGAGGTTATGATGCTCAAGGAAGCATCCTTCTCCCACGCCCCGCCCCCCCGCAGGCAGCCTCACCCCTGGCAAAGTCCCCCCAAAAGGGGTGAAATTTTAGGTGGGGCAGAAGACACTATATAGATGATCCCCAGACCATTATAGATGATTGGGGGGGTGATGTCAAGGGTGGCCGGCGACCAGCCCCAATTTAGCCCTGATGGGATCGGTTTCACATTGAAAGGGGGGGAGCCCCCTTTTCCAAAGGGGGTGTCCTGCTGGCCAGGAAGGCTTGCCCCGGCCCACTTTGAGGTGGTGGCAAGGATCGCACCAACCCCAGGGCAAAATAAGGGGGCGGCAGCCGGGGGACCCCTCCAGGTCTCCTCCACGGGGCAGCCCGGGCGGCGCTCTGCCCATGCCCAGGAACCCTCCAGGGGTGGGAATGCTCCCCCCCCCGAGGGGAAGGGAGGCCACTCACGGTCTGGCCGGGCTCGGGGCGCCCAGGATGACGAGGAGCGCCAGCCCCAGGCAGGAGGCGCGCCCGCGGGCAGGCATGGCTGGACCCCGAGGGCTGGGCGCCCTTTGTTCCCTCGGCGA